AGCTGGAGGTTCAGCCCCAAGATCTGCAGACACACAAACTGCTGCAGTGTCACGACCACTGGTCCAATCAACAGAGAACCCAAAAGCACGACAAGGCAAACAGGCAAATAGTGAGGGAAAATGACTTTACTCAGTCCAAATACAGGCAGGGTCGAAAACAGGAGATCAGTCGTAGAGGCAAACAAACCCGACCAGGGGCAGGAATCCAAAATCCGAGAAGGCAAACGAGGGATTGCATGACAACAAATGGCCGGATCTGAAATGACAGGAGAGTTACTGCCCAAAACAAAAACAAACTCTGTGCTAAAGTAACTACGTTACATGCAGGGACTCCGGTTCTGGCTGGAGCCTGATGCAGCCACAGAGGCTGACCAGAGCTCTGCAGCAGCTCTTCCCACTGACCCCCGAACTAACCCCCCCAGCCCGATAAGTTGAGAGCAACCAGGCTGACCAGAGCTCAGCTTCTGAGCTGCATTCAGGAGCCTTTTGGCCCTCAGCCGGGGTCCCTTTGCCCTCTTACCTGGAGCTCTGAGCCGCCACCACGTCCTCCTCTCAGGGACGCCCCGCCTTCTCCGTTTGGGTCCCAAAACGTCTCGTAAAATCTGGAGGGAAAAAAACGGGATGTGCTCCATCCGTGAGTACGGAACCCGACCGGACCGAGCTGAACCGGATCCAACCGTCATGCTGATCAGTCTGATCAGCATGACTGTCAAAATGGTAGGTATCTGTGGGAGTTTTAATGGGCTGTTTCATAGCATTTCTTTCATGGAGGCTACAGTTTTGTGTGCTCTATCAGCCCGTTCCCGATTTAAGTGTCACGCAAAAACAACCCGAGCTCCAGCGCGGCCATTTGTTTCGAGCCTTTCTTACTTTCACTTTCAAAAACCGAGCTGAAAGTTGCTTTTTTTGGTTTGTCCATTTGTTTGTTTGTTTGTTGTAGTTTTGTAGAAAAGACTTGGTTAGAAAAAACAAGTATTTTCTTGTTTGTGAGTGTGTGTAGAGTCTCACCGATACTTTGGGCTCGGAGACCTTCCGTGCGTCGCTCGGTGTTTGTGTACTCTAAGCTTTGCGGGTTGCCAAATCTGACAGAAACCAGCCCGACTAGCTGTGAGACGCACCTGTGTGGGCGTGTTTCAGCAGGCCGAACCAGGAAACCACCCCTCCCCAGTGCCACCCCATCAGGCCTCTTCATACCTTCATATACCTTCTGTATAAACCTTCTAATAAACACAGGTGTTATCAGGTCCTCCAGCATCACAAGCTGCCTTCACCTCAGCAAAGTGTTGATTTGAAGCCGGTCGAAGCGTCTTTTTACCGAGGAGAGACTGGAGAGCTCTGCCGGCTTCATGCAGACATGTTGGGTCCAGGTTTCTCCAAACCAAAACCAACAGCTCCTCCCAGACGCCCTGCTCTTACTGTGGCAGCTCCAACATGGTAAACGTTGTCAGGGTTAAATCCAAAACATTATTAACTCATTCGCTGCCAAAGACGTCTATAGACGTCAATTCAAATCCAACCGCTGACTGCCAGAGATGTCTATAGAGGTCTTTTATGTTTTTAACGAGAGTGTCTGGGGGACGATCTGCTAAAGCTTGTCCGTAAATATGGGCTTCTAGACAGAGTATGTAGTAACAAACTGAGCCTCTAGGGGGCAGTGCCACTTTTGATGGGAGATGAGCATAGACTATAGGCAAATAAGAAAAAGGGAACGGTTCTATGAGAGAACATGTCGCCGGTGAGACGCAAGTCCAGGAAGAACGGAATAAGGTAGAAACAATTTTTTTTTCCTCATGAAAGAAGAGAGTCTACTCTTTCTTTTGGTGTGTTCGGTGTTTACATAGTCATAGCACAAACTATTCTGTGGCTCTTGAAAAATCTGTCAAAATGCTCAAAAAACTCTGGCAGTATGGGACTCTGTTCTGAAAATGGCTGGCAGTCATGAGTTAAGAACACAATGCAGGACAAAACAGACTCAGAGACGTTATTCTTTCGACTTGCCAGGAGAGCAGCGGAGCCTTTACAATCTCCACCATACTCTGACCAG